AAGACGATCGGTTCACGTATTTGAACTGAGACAATACAGTGATCTGTCACGACACATAAAAGAGCAACAAAATGGTATTTATTGTTTGAATTAAAAAAATTAAATAAATAAAATCTAAAGCTGAGACCTTGTTTCATACCAGAAGTACCCTGCTCTGTCTTGTCTGTCAGCATGTTGCCAGTTTTCTCTTTGCTCCGCAATGTATTTTTTACTGCGTGAGAACATGATGTGTAATGTGAGAAAGGCATGGCTTGTCGGGCATAGCAACAGTAACTAAGGAGGGCGTTTTTTTGCGAATGCTGAATTGTACAATTAAGTAAATTGTACATATTTTGTTCTCTGGGAAATATGTAGAAAAGATGGAAAGATGTATCTTATGTAGCTTCTGAAGGGTAGAAATAAATGAAAAAATATGGTCTTTAAACAATATAAGATGTATGAATAAATGGATAGATGGACTAATTGATTGATTGAGTGATATTATTCGATCTAATTATTTTTTTCTGTGCTCTCTTCTAGACTCAGAATGTGATGTACGACCTGGTGTCAGAGCTGCAGGAACGCAGCGAGGAGCTGGACAAGCGTATTGGCACGTTGGAGGACAAGCTGGACGCAGTCACCGGCAGCCTGGAGGCTCTGCCCTGTCTGATCTCCCAAGCCATAACTCAGCAGCAGCAGGACCTCCTGGATGGCTTCGTGCATCGCTTCTGCCCTGCTTCGCTGGGCTCAGAACGCTCCTGGACCCCCTCCAGACGGCGGCGCTCGCCCTCCACCGCCCCGCACACTTCCTCCGACAGTGGCTAACGCGGCCCTGAACCTGCTCGCCGCTTCCAAAGGTCTCAGACTTATTTACGTAAGATGATCAAGCCGAGATTGAGAACTCATGTTAATAAGTAGAGAAGAATTATCAAAATAGTAGATATATGGTTTATGTTTAGCCATTGTATGGCTGTTCAAGTTAGCTTTTTTGTAAAGCCCTCATATATTTACAAGACTGAGTTCAGGAAGCTGGAGTGAGTCCAGGAACCTGGTCCTTCAAACTGGGAGATCACGGGGTCCACGGGAAGATGGGCCCGAGCAACGCCTGCCAGAGTGAACCAACGCAGACCACAAAGGAGTGAATCACCCACATAGAAGCGATTCACTGGTCCTGTAAGACATCTGTGCCAGGATGAGCACCGAGAACGCGTCTGGGTGCTCTGCGATCGCTTCAGCATTCAGCTGGAGACGCAGGAGCACATGACCTTACTACTGAGTAGAATAATGCAGGAATGCCAACCTTAAGGATTCAGTTCCCTTGCTCCTTTAAGGGAAATTGGGTGCATTTAACCTTTTTTAGTTACATATTGGCATGTTATTTTTTTCAGTGCCTGAATGTATAGATTGTGGAGGGTTGTCCATTTACAAATTTTGGAGCGAGTTTTTGTACAATGTTAACACGAGCATTGCATTCCTTTTTCAGATACATTCCTCTTGAAGACATTCAACTTGTCTGTCTTAACAAATGCCATTAACTCTGTCGCAGTCTTCTCTTATTTTCCAAAGCCTTTCAATACTTCCACCAGTTAGGCAAGGAAGGCAGGAAAGGAAGGAAGGAATGAAAAAAAAAGGAAAGAAATATTGGAAGGAAGAAATAAAAGAAGGTATAGTTTCTACTCAAACTGGTAACACTTTCATTTTAACGAAATCTGAGCTTCCAGAAGTCTTCACATTACCCAGAGGCTGCGTTTTTGACTCTGAAATGACGGCACAGAGTGCTAAATGCTATGGTAGGCAAAAATGTATGACAGGACTGAGATTTAAACCTTGCATGTTTCAGTGCAATTGTGACGAATGGATTATGGATGGTTTTTCAAACGTATGTGTGTGCTCTTTTTTTGTTTTATTTCATTTATTTTTTACACAGAGATTCCTTTTTAAAACGTTGGATAGTATTTTTAGAGTTGCAAATATAGCGGTGCAGTAATGTGGTAATGTACGTTTAATGCATTCCTTGTTCTACCTATAAATGAATTCCTCGACCAAGAGATTGACGAATCAGTGAAAAGTAGGAGTAATACTAAATAAATCATTCTGTAATCATGAGAAGACCTTCTCTGAGAGAATACATCTGATAGAGCAGATGGAGATGCTTATGGAAGACATTATTATGGCTCACATTTGCACTTTTTAGAATATACCATTAAGGCAGCTGAGAGCTCAAATCCGTCTTTCCTGTTCACGTGTATTTTTCAGACATCTATTGTTTTAAATAATCACGCAACTTTAAAGCAACTGACAATGTTATGTGTTTGATGGTGTAATTCACAGATTTAAAGCTAATGGTAAATGACTACGAACCATCTCATTGGAACTTGCTTTAGAAAAGTTTTGTTTTTATTAATTTGACTTAATTTGGACTTAATAATTAAAATAAGTTTTAAAAATAACTTAGATATGATCAGGCAAAACATGGGGTAGTAATTATTTGTGCTTGATTTAATTTTTATAAATGATTTTTTTGATGATTTTTAATGATTTTATTTCGCAAGACATTGGATTCCTAACCAAAGCCTATTCCCTTATCAACTTAAAAACTAATATGTTTTATGACTACATAGAAATTAAGCGGCACACTCACTCAAAGATACAGACTTTGTGCACATTTCATGTGAGATTGAAGCCAAATTCCTCCCAAAACACTTTTAATAATTCATGTTTGCTTTTTCTGATTTGCTTGTAAAACATTTGTTAAATGATTATTAAATGAGAAAAAGATTTCCATAATTTGGCGGCTTGATCACAAATCCTATCCAACTTGTTTCAGTCTTGTCAATACTGTTTAAGTCTTATGTATTTCCAGTCCTCTGTTCTTGTGTACAAACGATGCCTAAATTAGCAACCTTGCCAAACAACAACTCCATTTAAACTTAAAAAATAGAGAATTCTCACAGCTTTCATTGTTGAAATATACTTGACACTTTTAGCACATTTTGATAAAACAGAGATCAAAGACGAACTGAGAAAGCCGGTCGTAACATTCAATTCCTAATGCAGACAAAAATAGAAGGATAGGCTGCTTTACTATTCAAGCTGCTGTTGATGACCAAAATCAAGTGCAATTTAGATCCTGATTAAAAATAATTGGATGTACGATTGCATGGTTTTAAACAACATGATCATGACCCTTGTTCATGCCTTTCTCGCTCTTTCACTGTCAACACATTCTAAATGTTGTAATGTGCCAATTATAAAGTAAGACTCAGATGCCTTCTGATGTCAAACTGCATACACGAGTAGATGGGACACCAAATCACTAGAACGTATTTTATTGGACTACATGATTTTATTTTCTTTCTGATTTTTTCCTAATTGCCTTTCTTTGTGAAATACCTGTGAATGATTAAACAGTGAGATGGACTTGCATTTTGTATCCTCCCAGGTTGACTGTACATAAAGGCATGGGTTATCATGGTCTCGTATGTTGAGATCCTCTTATTTTGTTTACATAGAGATAGCCCAAGAAGCTAGTGCGGACAAAATCTGCCCATGTTTCAGATAATAAATATAAAATTCTTGAGAATATACTGTGGCATTGTGATATTGGATGAGCATGTGTTCAAATGAGGATGAAAACATGTGAGTATCAGAGCCTCCTTCTGTGGATATGTGATATTAAAACACTTCCAGTACAATAGTTTTTAATTAACTGGGACAAATGTGGGAATGTCTTGTTCTAGCAATTAAGTCAACATGCAATGCATCAATCCTTTTAAAAATAAATATATATTCTTGATGTGTTTGATGTGCTGTTGAAGGAGGCAGACCTAGATCCTTAAGAGTGAGAACGTTGCAGAGGGACATCTCTGAGGCAATCCCAGAAGAGTGAAGAAAATGGGCCACATCAAGCTGCATGGTAAGGACTGCATGTGAGAGTAAGACATATGCCCATTAACAGTGGAGCGGACCTCATAAACATTTAATTGAAGAGCAATGAAGATAAACCACAGGCAGCTATCTTGGGACAAAAACAGGCCTAAGGACATTTTCCAAGGTGAATTCAGACACATATCACTGATAGAGCACAGACACATGACGACCATGGAAATTTATCACAGATTTATGTAATCGCAGCTAAATACCATAAAATATTCTGGAAATTTGTGGTTCCTCAGACCGCCACACAGGCAGGACCCTCTTTCAAAAAAGGGCAGGTGTACATAAGTTCCTATAAGAAGACTCACTGAGCACATAATAGGACATTTAAGGGACCCTAAAGAGACTAGGTGCTCCACAGGATTTCAACAGTGTGGCAATAAATGTAGTATCTTTTCATTTTTAGAACTTTTGATTAATTTAACTGAATTTATTCAAAGACAATGGCCATTTTACCAATTCAAACATGCAATACGTCAATGTATAATACATAATGCTTGATTAATAATCTAATGAGTATTTCTCTCATTCTATTAGGTTAAAATTTTTGAGGCTGAATTTACCAGACAAGTTAAATCAGTACTCCTCTATTCAAATATGAGGTGTTTGTCCACTTTATTTTGACGTTACTGTCCACTGGCCTCATGATCTCTTCTGCTAAAAATGACTGATGAATCATTTCATCTCCATAGATAAGTGTTAGACTAACTAGACTAACAACTAGATGCACATACCAACAGTAAATGGAGCGTCTATGTGCGATCATATGTCCTATATTTCCTGCTGACTATCAAACTGACTCATAAAGACTGTGACGGCTTATACATTTCTTTACAAGAAAGGAGTGAAATTATTTTTCACACAAGTCCATTTGAATCGGTAGCTTGCCTGACATAGATGCATGAGGAGCCATGGCAATACTCCTCTACTGCCCTCTAGTGATTAGCTGATGAATAACAGAATGAGGCTCGATGGCTGCTACTGACAAGGAATAAAGACTTTTAGTACATGAATTCTGAAGTAGTTACATGATTGCAATAAAATAAAATGAGCACTTTTGGGTAATTTTCGTTTTGAGGGTTTGAGGGATGTTATCAAACACAGTTTCTGTGGGGAAATATTGAATGCCAGCCTGTGCCTGTCACCAGACTCGGCCTCTGGAGGTTTAATGTTTAATCTCTGCTCTGGCTTCCTGCTGCAGCGCCTCCGACTCACTTTTATCAGTCTTGTTTTTACTTTGTGAAGCCATTTTAGCACAGCCATACTCTCTAACAGCAAACCAGACTATTCTGACAACAAGGTGAGTGTTTTTATGTTTGTCATGGTGCTACTCATATTCAGGGCTGATGATTATGATATGTTTTACAGAACAAACGCTGAGAAGAGCAAAGTTCAGCTTCCTTTTAGTTGATGATCGGAAACGTTGTGTATGAGTATGTTAATGACTGTATTTGATGAACTTTAAAAACGAATACACCTTTTAACAATACCTGCTGAAAAGTCAATACCAGATTTAGTTAAACCAATGACATTTTGACGAATAACCAGCTTCCAAAACACAGTACAGGCTGGCAACCAACTATGCTGATATCTTTTATAAAAGATTACTGTATCTTTTCAACAGGGATATAAAATCATGTGTTTTGATTTACAGTTCTTATGAATTTTAAATACTTTTGAAAAATGGGCAGTGAACAAACAAACATCCTTTTATGTTTAATTCTTAGTTTGTCTTAGTTTGTCTGTTCTCTGGTGACTGTGTAGCCTACAGCTACTAGACCTTGATTTTCTCACCAGCTCCAGCAAAATGACAGACCTTGGCAGACCGTATTCGGATGACATCTCATCCTCACAAAGTGAAGATTTCAACAGAGCACATGCAGAGGAGGATCCTTCAGAAGTTCACAATGGTGACAATCCTGAGGACTCAAGCTACTCCCCTTATGAGCAGAGCCATTCAGACAAGGAAGCTGAGAAGATGAAAAAAAGTGCCTTGCTGCAATCTTGGACTGGTGTGTTTAAGAAATGGAAGAAAACTGATTCTGAAACGCATTCCACATCATCAGGGGGAATTAAAATACTACCCAACGGCACAAGATGTAGTCCACCTGTTTCTCCATTGTTGGACAGAAAACATTGGGATGCGCTTACAGGTGACCTCAAGCCAAACTTCCCCCCAGGTTCAGTGGGATACAAATATGACACACTTGAATCTGAACTGACCAGTATCCATCCGGCAGAGTACTACGCTGAGAAGTTAGAGGTATACCAGTTAAAATACTCCTACCTGAAATCTTGGCCCGGCCTTTTAAGACTGCTTGCTGGCCTTCAACTGGTGTTCGGCGGGATGGTTTTTGCCTGTGTATGTGCGTATATTCAAAGAGACAGTGAGTGGTCCAACTATTACAGGCCAAATTATGGGTTGGCTGGTGCACAAGGATACCGTTACAATGGCCCCTTGACAGCCTTTGTGTTGGTCATTGTTGGACTCTCATGGTTACTGACCGTTATCCTGCTGGTTTTGGGATTAACAATGTATTACAGAACGATCCTGCTGGATTCCAAATGGTGGCCTCTTACTGAGGCTGTTACGAATCTGGTCATTTCGCTGCTGTACATGGCAGCGGGTATCGTCTACGTGAATGATCTGAATCGTGGTGGCCTTTGCTTCATGACGGTCGGTATCAACCCAGTCCTGTCTAGCCTGTGTCGTGTCGAGGGGGGTCAGATGGCTGGGACTGCGTTTATATTCATTAACATGGTCATGTACTTGATAAGCTTCCTAGTGTGCCTTAAAATGTGGAGGCATGAAGCTGTCCGCCGTGAGAAGGATGTGTCGTGTCGAGGGGGGTCAGATGGCTGGGACTGCGTTTATATTCATTAACATGGTCATGTACTTGATAAGTTTCCTAGTGTGCCTTAAAATGTGGAGGCATGAAGCTGTCCGCCGTGAGAAGGTGGCCATGACAAGCCAGCTGAACAGCCAGGTAAATGCGCTCACAAAAGTTTGTTGTTTTTTTCTAAGAAATTAATCATTTTATTTAGCAAGCGCACATTAAATTGATCAAAAGCGACATTAAAGACATGCATAATGTTACAAAATATTTCTATTTCAAATAACTGCTGCTCTTTTAAACTTTCCATTCATCAAAAGTATCACAGTTTCCACAAAAATATTAAGCAGCATAACTGTTTCCAACATTGATAAGATGAACCTTTTCTTGAGCACCAAATCAGCATATTAGACTGATTTCTGAAGGATCATGTCCTGGAAAATCCAGTTTTACCATCACAGGAGTAAATTAAAATAGACAGTGATATTACAGCCTTGGTGAGTAAAAGACACTTTCAAAAGTAATAGAAAATCTTAACCCCCCCAAACGTTTGAAAGGTAGTGTGCATTTAATTCATTAGAATATGGCTGTCTTTGGTCCTTAACGTCATAAAATTTTTTATAATAGTGATCACAGGGTTTTTGCTTCACTTTTAACTACAAACAACACTAATTAAATTCCTAGTTTCCACAAAATCCTCAATGTTGTTATCAAGTTTGACTAATTGTAATGGCTGTTATCTTTCAGTTACAGCAGCAAACTCTGGAATCCACATCCAATATGGGCAGCTCCTTGACTAGATCCAAGAAAATTTCATTCAGAGATGAAATGGATCAAAGCTCTGTGTGTAAGAGCAAACTGGCTTATGTCTCAGAGAGAGCTGAAGAAAGAAAGATTTTAACTGGAGCTATTCCAACAGGACACATTCCTAAACCCAGAGTCATCGCTGATTATATTATGTTAGTATACTTTATGGTTTATTTCTGGTCTAACAAAAATAAACTATATATTTATGCCACACAAATGTAACAGGCGTTGGTTATATTCAGTAGGTATTAACCCATTTAAACCCCTTGAAGGATCTAGAAAGGCTCTTTTTTCATCTGTAAATGTTATTAGGTGACTATAGAGGGTTTAAACCCAACTGCTCTACATATAGACAATCTTAGAAAGGGCTTTGGACAACTTGATGGATAATGTGCCATGTGGTGTTTTGATTCATGCTGCTATTTCTGGGTGTGTACTTTGAAATAAACCTGACTGGTGGGAAAATCCCTTATTATCCCATCTTTTCATAAAAAAGGCAGCTGAAAATCACAAAAGAGCCACACAGTAGGTCTATAGAAAATACCAAAAATGGATGTTAATTAGTTAAAAATAGGACGAACATGAGATGGGCTTGAGAAATAAAATTAGGTTAGGATTAATGTAAATAGAATAGGAGTCAATACTGAATAAAAAAGATGAAATGGGACAATATTAAAAGATGTTATTTATTTAATTTTTTATTTTTATTTTTTGGCAGAAAATATCCTGAAATTCATTCAGTAGAGGACAGAGAGCAATACAAAGCAGTTTTTAATGACCAATATCAGGAGTACAAGGACCTGCACAGGGAGATCACAGCCACTTTAATGAAGTTTCAGGAATTAGACAGCATGATGAGCCAACTCATCAATAACAGGAGAAACCCTGAGGTGAGACGTGATACATTCAATATTACCTTAGACTATTCAAACCAGTTGTGTCAATAGTTTTTTGGTTGTTTTATTTAGGAGAGTAAGAGAATCAATGGCTTACTGAAAAAATATGATCAAAAAAAGAATGTAAGTCACCTTTTGAACTAACCTACCTTAAACCGCTACAAAAACGAAGTTAAATACAAGAGATTCTTTTTTTTTAAATGTTGTCATTATGTATCTTATTATGTGCTTCCTCAAGGACCCATACTTTCTGGAGAAGAAGGAGCGGTGTGAATATCTGAAAGGAAAACTAAGCCACATCAAGATGAGGATTCGGGATTGTGATCAAAATTTCACTGCAAAGGACAGCAATTACTAAAAAAAATATTTTTATTGTGTAATTATTATTATGGCGCCTACTTTTTTTTTCTTTTTTTACTGTAAGAAATGACGGCAGTTTGGCTTAAACTAATCTATAAACTTTACTCCTACTTCACGAATCCTAATTTTTTATTTTATACTGTCACTTTAAAATTGTAATTATATATATATATAAACACTTTAAAACACTAACAATCATTAACTCAGCTTCCTGTTCACCTTAACTTTCGACCTCCTAAAGAGCCAATAAGACTGATTGTGTCAGTAGCAACGGGTTGGATTGGGTTTAGAGTTTCAGGCCCAGGTCTGTCACACAAATCACCATGAGCAGCAGCTGTCACAGGTATTCACATCAAACGGATAAACTCAAACACTAAACAACACTTGACAGAAAACTGTCAAGCTTAGAAAAGCGGGACCAAGGCGAACAAGGAAAAGCCCAGTGGCTGTTGTGTTACGGTAAGTTACATAATGTTTCAATTATTTACCACAAAATGATAGACCTTTTTAGAATGGATTGCCCTGTTGAAAAAACCAGCACCAGCATCCCAGCGTCAAAACATACCTAACCAGCATATGCTGGTCTTTTCAACAGGGTAGTCAACGCAAAAGTGCAAAACGACATGTCGCAGTACTTTTTAATCTTATGTTGTCAAATCATACCAATTGCAGTGTTTCATATGATTGTAGCTGACAGCTATATGCTCAGACCAATCTAAAATGATATCGGTTTATTTTCAAGAGGAAAGTTGTAAAATTATATTCAAAAAAACAAAACCTTCTTTTTTGTGGAATTTTTTTAAAATGTTCTTTATTCTTGAATAGCTGTCCCATCACCATGCACCTGTGAGGCTGTATAAAGCTTGCTAGGTTGATTTTCAGCTCTTGAATTATTTATTCACTCTTTTCAAGTTACCACGGGTGTGCATCTCACCATCTCTCTAAAGCATAATTAACTAAGAGGATACGGTATTTGAAATATTCCTGTTAGCAGTGCATCTCTTCACCTCTTTTATTCACATATAATGTCTGTATATTGCACTTGGGGGATGCAACAGAAATGTGAGGAAGAAAACTTACAGCATGGAAACCCCCAATGACTGCATCTGCTCATGTTTCTCTGAATTATTCAGAGCATCTCATCTGAATTGCAGTAGCCTGATGAAGGGAATGATGTTTAAAGCTGGACTCCAGATTGTGAATGTTGTTTGTGCTATAAAGAGGTGTGTTCTTTCTTAATTATACTGTTAGATCAGAACTCTGAAAGTTCCTGTAGATCTACGGATAGAGTTGTGCGCTAACATTGCATGTTTGTAATCCCAGGGAACAAATGTAGTGATAAAATGTATAGTTTAAATGCAATTTATGAAATTTGATAAGCCAACAGTGCTGTTTGTGCATTTAAGATGGTCAGTGTTTTAGTGACGGAGGTTACAGGTACACTGGTAATTGGACAAGTCTTTATGAGTGAGTCATCAAATGATTAATTCAAACAATTCTTTCAAACTCACTAATGAATTCAGGAACAAAACAGGCGATAGTTTTTATGAGTGAGCCATTGAATCAGTCATTAAACTAATTCGTACAGAAACGCTGACTGATTCAGGAAGGCTGTGTATTGCTCTGTAGATGATGCGATAATTAATTATGCTTTGTCCTGTTGTGAAATTGTTTCATCTGCATAGCAAAAAATAGACAAATTGTTATATAAAAACAATATAATTCGCAGTTGTGCCATCTGTGCTATTGTGGATTTTATTGGAATGCTGTATTGACCATTCAGAAGAAATGACTGGACACCAGAACTATTATTTCTATATATTTTAAAAATAATTATTATATGTATAATTGAGATTATAATCATGTGGGTGATGGTAGTTGAGGGCAGCACATAAGTGTTGAGTGGCAATGTGTAGTTTCAGTGTTGTTTTATTATTAATTTTTATATAGACTGTCATAGGTTTTATTATTGTTTTGAATAAAGCTTTTTTATATATATTTTCCAGTTGTATCTTAATTTGTGTAAGATTTTGCTTTTGTTATTTTTATCTCTCCAGATTTATTATTTTACTATCTAGTTATATTTTATTTATATTTTAGTTTTAGTAATTTTAATACTTCAACTTAAACATTTATTTTGTTTGCAATTATTTTTGTTACCCCTTGCAGAATCTGTGAAAATGTGAATAATTTTAACAAAATTATGCATGTTATTTTTTATTTAGTACTGTCCTGAGTAAGATATTGTACATAAAAGATGTTTACATATAGTCCACAAGACAAAAAAAATAGCTGAAATGATTAACATAACCCCCTTTAAAAGTTTGGGAACCCTTGGTTCTTAATACTGTATGTGGTTACCTGGAAGATCTACGACCGTTTTTTTGTTTTGTGATGGTTGCTCAAGAGTCCCTTGTTTGTTCTGAACAGTTAAACTGAGCACTGTTCTTCAGAAAAATCCTCCATGTCCTGCAGAATCTTCAGTTTTCCAGCATCTTCTGCATATTTGAACCCTTTCCAGCAGTGGGGGTGAAAACTTTTTGAATTTGAAGATCAGGGTAAATTTAACTTATTTTGTCTTCTTAGAAACATGTAACTATATTCTGTAGCCTCTGAATGGCAGTACTAAATGAAAGAATATGATATTTAGGCAAAATAAGACAAATGTACACATCTATCTGTTCAAAAGTTAAAAAGCCTCTTAAAAAGGCTCTTAATGCATGGTTTTTCCTTCTGGAGCATCAGTGAGCGTTTGAACCTTCTGTAATAGTTGCATATGGGTCCCTCAGTGTGAAAAGATGGATCTAAAAATCAAACAGTCACTTTGGGAAAAGGTTCAAATATGCAGAAGATGCTGGAAAACCAAAGAATGTGCAGGAGCTGGAGGATTTTTCTGAAGAACAACAGGCAGTTGAACTGCTCAGGACAAACAAGGGACTCATGAACAACTATCACAAAATATAAAAACAGTTGCGGATCATCCAGGAAACGACACACAGTATTAAGATTCAAAGGTATGAAAACTTTTGAATGGGGTCATTTTTATAAATTGAGTTATTATTTTTTCTTGTGGAGTACATATAAACATCTGTTATGTGAAATAGCTTATTCAGGTAATTGCATACATATGTATATATATATATTGTGTTCATCTATATTTCAATTTAATTATGATTTTAGTTTTCATGTTTTGTTTACAATAGCAACAAATGGTCTTCTCGCCACGATTATAAAAGTTATACTCGTCCATATCATTTTTAATGATTAAAACAAATGACTGCAGCTCTTTGTCTGAAAATTAAGTATGGTTTTGGTTTCAGAAAGCTATATCTGTTCCCAGATGATCTCATGATCTAAATTTGACCTCATTTCTTTTTTCAGATTATCTCATGAATCATGTATGAAACACAGCAGTATGACAGTCCACCGCAGTACAGTCCACACTACATTGCCCCATCAAATATGTACACATCCAGAAGTTTCTACTCTCAAAGAAGCGAGTATGGCTTATACTCTTCAGTGCCTGATGCTCCTCAAACGGAGGGAAACCCTCAGCACTTCTACAGATTGTTCTCCCCACCTGGCATCGTGAAAACGATGGAGGGACTGACTGCTCTGCTTTGTTTTGTTATTTTTGTCTGTGTTGCTTCTACTCTAGTTTGGGACATGCACGGCTATGAGGGAAGCATCGGAGCCTTCGTTGCTGGATCTGGAGGCTATGGGATGGGATCTGGGTACTATGGAGGAACCTATGGCTATCAGAGATCTTATATGACACCCTACTCAGCAAAATCAGCCATGATCTCCATGGCAGCCCTTAATTTCGTAGTATCTTTGGCCATCCTAGTGGTTAGTTTCTCAAAGACTTGGTGTGTGCATGGAAAAACGTTTTACTTGACAGTTTTAGTGGTGGATGTGGTTCTGGCGATTCTACAGTGTATTATAGACATCATATTCGTCATTGGGGTGAATCCCATGGCCCAGAGTTCACAAAGCATCATGTACAACCCCATCCTGATGATGTGTCAGACCTCATTAGGGACTCCCAGCATCAGCGCTGGAGTTGGAGCAGGCTTCCCAGGTGCATATCCGTCCTTTAATCGATATCTCTATCACTACTGCTTCATGGATCCTGAGGAGGTCAGTATGCCAAGACATACACACTTAAAAAAAGGTTCTTTATTTGCATCAGTGGTTCCATGAAGAACCTTTAACATAAATAGAACCTTTCCATTGCACAAATTGTTATTTATAGTGGAAAAAGGCATCGCTGTGAAAACCTCCTTTTGGAACCTTTATTAAGTTTATCAAACCTTTATTAAGAACCTTTATTAATGTAGCTGTAGTTTCACTGTAACATTAATTGTTTTAAATCAGTGTTTTCTTCTTAATTTTAGGCTGTGGCTCTGGTATGTGGACTGTTTGTCATGATTGCCCTGGCTGTTGCAGCCTATTTTGCCTATAAGACTCGAAGCAAAATATGGCGTCATGGCAAACCTAATATCTACTGGGAGGAACCACCTATCCTCAGAATAGACAGGAGCCAGAATTTACTAAACTGGGTGAGTTCATAAGTGGCAGTTCAGATTTATTGAGGTCATTGCTATTGGCATTCAAATTTTCTGGCGTATACATATATATGCTCAGCAAGTACAAAGCTACATTTACTTCAAAAGCATATATATCAACAGTAGTGACATTGTGAAATATTGTTACAATAAAAAAAAAATACTGTTTTGTAATATATTTTAAAAAGTAATTTATTCCTGTGTTGGCAAAGCTGAATTTTCAGCAACATTACTCCATTCTTCAGTGTCACATGATCCTTCAGAAATCAATCTAATATTCTGAATTGCTGCTCAAGAAACATTTCTTATTACAGTTTCTTTTTATTCAAGTCTGCAATTTTCACATGAAAGGTGCACATTTTCAAAACTCCTACTTAAAAAAACCCAAACTAATCTCACTTGTAACATTTCCAGTCATTACAGTTATATATATTTTCAGTGCACATAATCATTGTTTCAAAACACAAGATTTTTGTAATATGTAATGAGTTTAACACCAAAACACAACAGTATGATCTTCTTTTAGTTTAGTATACTTTTA